CACTTAAAGAGTTGGGTCCAAAAGTTGCTAGTGAAGCGTGAGTCACGATCACTAACAATATCTTTGGGTAGGCCCCAATATTTGACGACATGAGAGAAGAAGAGTCGAGCTGTATCTTCTACTGATATATATTGTGGGGCAGCAATAAAGGTAGCATATTTGGAAAACCGATCTACCATTACCAAGATAGTTGTTAGATCTCCGACCTTGGGCAATCCGGTGATGAAATCCGGGGAAACACTTTCCCAAGGTCTCTTTGGGACAGCTAGTGGTTCCAAGAGTCCCACCTGTTTTAAGCGGTCTGACTTGTCCTTCTGGCATACTAGACAAGTCTTCACATACTGAGCAACGTCATCGGCCATTTGAGGCCAATAATATGCACGGCGAAGTAACGCCATGGTGCGTTCTTCACCGGGATGGCCGGCCCACAGAGTATCATGACATTCCGCCAGAAGAGTCCTTCATAGATCTCCTCCTTTAGGAACGTAAAGTCGGTTCCCTTTCACTTTTAGAAAATCATCTTCCATGTAGAACTGGCGAGTCTTGCCCTGTCCTACCAAATCAACCAAATACTGTGCAGCAGGGTCTTTGATGAGTAAATCCTGTATCTGGTCCTTGATGGAGGTGACTACTTCGCTCCCCATTAGGGTGGCGAGTAGGCACACCGATGCTAGATCAGGTCTTCGACTGAGCGCATCAGCAACATGATTGGTCTTCCCACTTCGGTACTCCAGGTTGAAGTGGAATTCAGCTAGGAGTACCTGCCACCTGGCCTGTCGACCATTCAACTTCGGCTGGGTCATGAAATGGCTAACAGATGTGTTGTCTGTCTTGACCACGAACGGGGTTCCGAGCAGATAGTGCCTTCAGAGGCGCAAGCAGTGGACGACAACCAATAATTCTTTCTCATGGGCGGCATAGCGCCGCTCTGCATCTTTTAGCTTCCGACTCTCGTACGCTACATGATGCTCTTCTTGTAGCAGGACTCCACCGAGGGCATAGTCAGATGCATCTGTTTGTACTTCGAATGGCTTGGCCAGATCAGGAAGGGCCAAGA